TGAGGCAGCGGCAGCTGTTTGAAGAGCAGGCCAAGGTAAGGAACAAGAGTGAACGAAGGCAGTAAGGTTTCACCAGAATCCACTCACCGGGAAATACTTAACCCAGGTCTCCATCCGTGTGCATCCTGGTAACTTAGCAGAAATGAAGGCCGCAGCCATAGGCTTGCTGGAGAAAGTCACATGTCTGTATGAGGACTTTGGTTTTTACCAGGACGTATCACCTGAGTGATATGCAGGGAATATGGTGACAGTTATTAGTAGGGGGAGCATATTGCTTATTTTGAAAATGATTTGCCCAACAAGAACGTTATTTTTCTTCAGTTGTGCATTTATTGAAATGGCATAGTGATGAGAGGTGGATGAAAATAACAAGCAGCTCAGCAGGCTGCCCAGATTGTCACTGCCACTGATGGGTGGTTTCAGGAAATGCAAGGAGATTCACAGAATCATTATACAATCTCTGAGTCTCACTTGAGCCTCAGAGCCCAGGTAGCAGAGATGTTTTCAGGTAAATCTATTCTGAAATAGATTTCATCAGACCTGACCCACAAGTCTAGAAGAAATTGCTCAGTTGTACAGTTCTGAGGGAACCAATTCCCAGGAAGTCCAGATGTCAGGAACATCTCTGGAATAATAATACTCCCTTTGAATGTTGTTCACTTGGACTCAGATGTCCTGGAAAAACCGTACCCTTTGGTTCTCTTTGATCTAGGCCAAGGCTGCCGGTGATGACGAGGCCATGTTCATCGATGAGAACTTCTGCACAGCCCTCGAGTACGGGCTGCCCCCCACGGCCGGCTGGGGCATGGGCATCGACCGCATCACCATGTTCCTCACAGACTCCAACAACATCAAGGTACTCAATCCTGCACTGTTGGAGGAGGTGGGGCATCCTGGGCCTAGGGAATAAAGAGGGACTCTGAGCTGCGGGAGGACCAGGCAGGGAAACTCATGTCAGACGCAGGCCTTCTGGCCATATTGGGCTTTAATCTTTTTCTGAAAGAGAATGCCATTTGCATTTCTTTTTTTGTTTGTTTGTTTGTTTGTTTAATTTTATTGGTATACTTTATTTTTGTTTATTTATTTATTATTTATTTTATTTTTTTGGCGGAACCGGGGATTGAACTCAGGTCCTTGCGCTTGCCAAGCAAGCACTTATTCTACTGAGCCATTTCCCCAGCCCCCATTTGCACTTCTCGAGGACTGTAGGAAATGCCAAGCCCTCTGGCTACATTAGTTCTTTTAATTTCAGTCAGCCTGTGAGGTGTAGAAATTGTTACCCTATTACAGATGATGAAATCGAATTTCTCAATAACCTGTGTTCAGTCATTCTTTCAGCATGGTGCCCCTAGATAGCGCTGTACATTGGCTCGCTTTTATTGTCTGTGATGAGAGACCAAGTTGAAATAAAGTAACATGTCTTTTCATTTGGGATTTACAAACACCTCTGGGTTGGGATAGCAACAATAGCAGGCAAAAGAATAGCAGATCACTGTAAAACCTTCTGAGAGTGCCTCTGAGCTTCAGAATGCTTTCTCTGTGTCCTGTAGGAAGTGCTCCTGTTTCCTGCCATGAAGCCAGAAGAGAAGAAGGAGACTGTGGCAAACACTGACACGGTGGAAAGCACAGCGGTTGGCACTTCTGTCTAGAAAATAATTCCAACTCGTGTAACTCAGGCATCTGCATTTTTGCAAAAAGATCAAGTCTGTGACGGGATTGTTGTGTGTAGTCATCCATGTGACCACCATTCAGTTCAGCAAGCAGAAGCAAGAAGAGGAATGAAGAATTTCTTTTTACTCCTTCTTACCAAATAAACCATTTGTCTCTACCTTTAGAATATCAGCTTTTTTCCCCAGGCTTCTGGCCAAATGAATGTTTAGGATTTTACCATCTAATTCTTTTAACAGATTGATACTAATGTCTACTCAGGGTTGGGCATTGTTCCAAGGAATCAGACACAGCAGTGGACAAAAGCAAAGCCATTGCCTTTATGGAACTTAACATTGTTTTTGGGGGTGTGGAGAGGAATAAACAAGAAACAAGCATGTATCCTTAATGCTACACACTGAGAAGCAAAACAGGCTAGGGTGAGGCGACAGCGGTGCTGCTCTAGTGGTGGGCTGGGCAGTGCCATTTTAAATACAGCTATGGAAAAAACCTGCTGCATGATGTTTAAGCAGGGATCTGGGGCCAGTGAGCCAGGACCCCGTGTGGGAAAGGGCTTTGACTAAAGGACCACGTTGTTGAGGAACAGCAGCAGGGCATGTTGAAGAGTGAGTGAAGGTCCGGGGCCAGGTCACACAAGCTCTTGGCAGGCACATAAAGTTTGTTCTGAGCCCCATAAGAAGCTGTTGGTGAGATGAGTGGGTGTAGTGAGGTGATTTAAAGGGTGATTCCTATCAGTATGTGAAGGGACACGTGAGCAGGGACAAGATGACTGCTGCAGTACGGGGGACTTGGATCTGGGTGGTAGCAATGGAAGTGGTTACTGATAGGTTCTGGCCCTAGCGTGAATTACTGAATTATGGTGGACATCTAATATGGCTTGAGCCCTTAAAACAACTTCTCTTCCCTGAGACTACCTCTCCCCTTCTACAACTCAGCCTAGAGTGCAATTTCCTTTCACCTTTCCTGCCACCTCAGGGAAGACCCCAGTCAGCTTCTCAGATGTTTGTAAACACCCCCCTCAAACTCCATCCCTAGCAAAAGTTGGTAAAAGCCTCAACTTTGTCTCAGGCCAGAGGATCTATCTGCCTCATCTACCCTCAAACCTCTCCATATCTTTGGAGCTAATAAAGGCTTCTTTTGTCTTTACTGCAAGAAAACCTATCAGTTTTTGTGTTTTGCCTTGGTTCCTGAGAGCAACAATTTGCTCATGACAGTGTTTCTTCAGAGAAGTTAAAGATGATTTCAAAGTTTTTGCCAAGAAATAAAAAACTGGTAGAGGAGCTGCCATCCAGAGAGAAAGAGAAAAACGAGGTGTGTGCTTGAGGGGAAGAGCTGGATTTGGTTTGGGACCGGGTGTACACGCAGTGTTGTCACACCTGTTTGAAAGCATCTGAGTAGCCATCAGCAGGATGTTGAATGTGAGCCTGAAGTTTTCTCATTATTTTTAGCTCAATAGGGCTAAGGATGTAAGTACAGCCGGGAGTATGTGGTTAGGTTACAATGGAGCCCCTTTTCCCTGGCACGGAGAAGCAGCTGGGGGAAGAACAGTGATTCAGTGAAGGACTTGTCATGTGCACCTCAGCACAACTTCTACAGGTCCCAGTTTGGGAGTTGCTGGTCTACTTTCACAGAGCAGGTTTGTACTTCTGTACCTGGTAAAAGGAGCTCAGCATGCAGAATTACCTAACTGGGAACTACTTCAAGGGATGTGGAGAATCCTCGCCTCTGCTGGTGGTGCTGTTTTGTTTTGTTTTGTTTTGTTGCTGTTGTAGTTTTGGTTTTTTTGTTTGTTGTTTGGTTTTTTTGGTCTTTTTGAAACAGGGTCTCCCTATGCAGTTCAGACTGGCCTTAGCCCAGATTGACCTCAAACTCACAATGACCCTCCTGCCTCAGCCTTCTGAGCTCTGCTGGTGTTTAAGCAGTAGATGCCCAGGTGGTCTTTCAGGAAAAACACTACTAATATGGCACATCCTCAGCAAGATGGTATTAACCAAGATGATCTGTTCACAGCAGAGGGTAGAAGTTAAGTCCAGCCAGAAAAGGGACTGGACTTCAGGTAACATGGCCAATGAGAACCACTGAAGAAAGCTGTAAGGAAAGTGATGTCCTAAATGACTAAGGATTTGTGAAGTAGAAGGCTGGAGGCTGAAGCCAGGTGTGTGACATTAAGGAGGCTGGGAACTAGCAGCTGGACACAAACTTGTACGTGGAATTTGGAAGGAAAACAGGATGAGAGCTAGAAGAGATAGAAGGAACATAGAGACCTTGTTACATCATGAGACACTTGAGCCCTAAGTCATCCGCTTCACCAGGTGCACAGGTGCATTCCTGTAATCCTAGCATTCAGGAAGCTGAGGCAGGAGGATCGCTGCAAGTTCAGACCAGCCTGGGCTACAAGTGAGCTCAAGACCAACCTGAGCTATATAGCAAGACACTGTCTCAAACCCTACCAACTTCTGTTTGTTTGGGGGTTTTCTGAAAGGGTCTCCATGTGTAGTTCAGGCTGGCCTTGAACTCTGTGTAGTCAAAGCTTGCCACAGCAAGAGCACTGCCGGAGGAACCCCCAGTACCACCACCACCACCGCCATGGGTGTTGAACTGGCTGAACAGGAAGACAGCTGCTGATTTGAAATGCTGTAGAAAGGAATAAACTCCTGCCTTGCCGGAGGCCAGTGGGCCTTTTCCTTTGAACCAGGAAAAAGGGGTCAGGCAAGATGCAATTCTGCTCCCTTTCAGCTTCTGAGGTGGAACAAAAACAAGTGAGGTCCCTCGCCGTTAGTACTTGAGGTGTTCAGTTGGGGGATGGCAAGCTCCAGCATTATTCATATGGCAGTGTTATCAGGCACACCGAAGGGTGCAGTAGCCACTGCAGTAGCCACTGGCCACATGTGCCTAGCTATTGAGCCCTAAAATGTGGCTAATGCAAGTTCAGATGTAGGCATTAAGTACACAGCAAATTTACTTAAACTTTGTATGGAAAGCTAATATGGGATTAAAATTAATTTTACTTCTTTCGTTTGAAATTTTAAATGTGGTTACTAGAAGAAATTAAATAACATGCTTGGCTTGAATTATATTTCTATCGGACAACACCATTTTAAACAAAAATTCAAACTAGAGTTCCAAGATAGACTCATTAAAATTGTAGTACACTGAGCAAGCGGCTTCCAGTTGCTGTTTCTCGCGTGCCTAAACACAGCAACCAATCAGATACTGGGAGCTATAAGCCTAAGTATTGAATCGCGGAACGGGCTTGTCCCCTGCCCAAACTACAAGGACCAGCTTGCATTGCGTGGCAGTGGAATCTGACCCGGAAGGAGTCGTCTCCGTGACGTCACATCCGCCCCACAGCCGAAGTTGGTCCGTATCTTGAAGGCGCGCGATTTGGAGACTGAGGGGTGCGTCTGCATTTTGAGGGTATGGGCCTGGGGTCACAGGTTTCAGGGGGCACTAGGTGCCTCCAGTGAACCGGTTTTGTATGGGCTGAAGAGAACTGTCTCTTCCGAGACACATGTCACCTGGAAAACGCGCCTCGCCGCCTGATGTGTCAGCTGCCTCCGCGTGAGGCGCTCTCTCCGCGGCTGCCGTGCCGCGTGGCCCTGTCACTCAGCCGCTCACGTGGTCTCCGCCTCGCGCCCGCGGGGCCGTGCCTATGACTGCCGTCCACGCGTTGCTGGGTATTCAGGAAGGGGATCAAAGGAAAGGCTTCCCCTCCGTCGGACACTGCCAGAGCCTTTCCTTCTTGGCAGCCAGCTTTTTAAAAAAAGAAGTAGGTTCTTCAGCTTGTGTCTGTTACAAGATGCGATGTTGGGGGTATAGAAACGCCTGTAAGCGAGCAGTTTTCATAGGAAGGAGTTCAACACCGGGGAAGGGGTGTGAGCGTGGATTATAATGAACCCAGAATATAAAACTTTTACTCATTTCAGCAATTTATGTATACTCAGTCAAAGGTTCGACGCCAGGTGTGCCGTGCTGCCCCGCCCTCGGGGCCCGCTGAGAGCGATTGAGACTGGGCGTGGTGGCGCGGGTCTGTAGTCCCAGCACTTGGGAGGCTGAAAATAGGAGGATCACTACCAGTCGTATCTGTATAGTGAAACCCTGTAGACCCTGTACTAAATGCATTAAAATAAATAAAAACTGCTTTCCGAGACAGGACCGTGCAGTTCAGTCTGGTTCTGTAATGAATTTTTATTCCTGGTCGTGCCCATTAAAGCCCATCCAAGGCAAAGTACCAGATTATCGATTATCAACTGGTAATTATCTTTTTTACTTGGTTATTATCAATTAAATCAAATTATCAATTTTTGTAATATCAGTCAGAGTTGGCATTAGTTGCTCAACATTATAGCAGTTATTTGGATGGGTACCGGAATTGAACCCAGGATATTTACACTACCTATATTCCCAGTATTTTTTTTTTTTTTTTAATTTTGAGACAGGATCTTATTCAGTTGCCCAGGCTGGCCTTGAACCTCCTGCCTCACAGTGCGGGGATTACAGAGGTGTGCTGCAACACCAGCCTCTAGCAATTATGATTATAAATATAACCCGAGTAAATTAGAGTCCATTATGCCTGTTTTAACAAGTGAGGAAAAACACAGAGAAGTTAATCTATTCAATATCACAAACCCAGAATTAGCATTCACAAGGGCAATTCCAAACCCTACACCCTTCACAACTGTGAAGATGAGTCTTTGCTGGTGAGAAACCTCTCAGTGGCAATAGGAAGTTAGAGATTGACCCTGCTGCAGACAAGAGATGAGTGAGATTCGTTCTTAAGCAAAGGATGGAAAAGAACATCTGTCCAGAGAGAAATCTTGTGTAATTATCTGCTGTAAGATTTCTGCTGAGGGGCTGGTGAGATGGCTCAGTGGTCTAAAGCACCCACTTAGAACAAGCTTAGCAAAAAGGAAAGGGACTGGGGCTGGTGAGATGGCTCAGTGGTCTAAAGCACCTACTTAAAACAAGCTCAGCAAAGCACAGGGACCACGGTTCAATCCCCCAGCACCACATGCCAGCCAGCCCGCCCCGCCCTCTGGTGGGCTGAGCT